TAGATCCGACTCATAGTAATTCTCCTGTTTTCAGCCTCCCAAGTGCTGGGATTACACGTGCGCGCCACCACGCCCAGCCTCTGCTCTCTACTTTTACGAGGCTGACTTTTTTAGATTCCACAAGTAAGATCATGCAGTACTCATCTTTTGTACTTCACTGAACACAGTGTCCTCCAAGTTCGTCGAAGTTGCAGCAAAGACCAGGCTTCCATCCTTTAATGCTGAATAATGTTGTATTGTATGTGCATACCACGGTTGCTTTATCCATTGATCTACTGACGGATACGGAGATCAAGCCCCTATCTTGACTATTATGAACAGCACTGCAATTAACCTGAGAGCCCAGATTTCTCCTGCATGTGCTGGTTTTCTTTTCCAGATAGATTTGAATAGTATTTCATGATAGAGTGGATGTGGGGTGAACACATAGTTTCAAGAATGAATTCCAAGTTCATAGTGTCAGTTCCTCACGGTTAGTCCCTTCCCAACCTGAAGAGAAGAACTACAGACCACCACTCTGTTCAAGCAGGAAGCCCCCCAACTCACTCAGCCTGAGAGGCTAAGATAACTCTGCTTATCAGGTTGGTTCCCAGATCTGTTTCTCAGGCTTGTGGGAAATCCTGTAAAGCTACAGAATGTCAGCTGTAAAACAACAGAATACCATCATTATCCTGAACTTCCCTCCCCACAAAGAGGTGCCAGACCCACCCATGACCCCCAAGAAACTTAAAATTTTCCATATTCCTCAGTGGGACCCTTGCTCCCATACTCAAGCTAGTCTATAAAGCATATTCTCTTCCTTTGTTTCCTCATCAATGGCCTTCTTGCCCTTGACTAGGCTACACCCAGACTGAAATAGAGGTATCAGAGTTTGCTTCAGTCTTGGCTGTCCTAGTAGTCTCAGTCACTCCTCAGGGTCTGGCCTGACAGCTAGCTTGAAGTTTTGAGTAGATTATAGTGAGATGACTAAGGGGCAGCAGGCTGGGGCAGAGGGGAAGGAATAGGAGTCCAGCCTTTTGTTTTGAACATGTTGAAGCTAAGATGCTTCTAGATATGTAGCAAATTGTCAGAAAACAGATACTTAAGGCCAGAGCTCCAGAAAGAATCAGAATTAAAGACATAGACCTGGAATCTGGGCTGGGAAGACAGCTCAATGGCATAAGCACCTGGCTGGCAAGCATAAGGTCCTGATTTCAATCCCCAGCAAGATAGCTCAATGATCTAAAGCCTAAAGCGCCCACTTACACAAGGGCAGGGACCAGGGTTCAGTCCCTGACACCACATGCCATACCAGTCCCACCCCCCAGGGACTGACTCAGCCACAAGGAAAGAAAGAAAGAGAGAGAGAGAGAGAGAGAGAGAGAGAGAGAGAGAGAGAGAGAGAGAGAGAAAAGAAAGATGGGAAGATAAGGATGGAGTATTTCTCCATGGATTTGGCACATGTAGGCTGTAGGAGACCCCTGCAGGTTCTTGTCTCTGTCCAAGAAGTTAATATTTGTAATCCCAAAGATATGTTCTTGAAATCCCACCAAGTTAATTCCAATCTACCACTCCCAGTGCAACCCATGGTGAAAATAAAGACACTAAAACATATTTATAATTATTGGGGAGCCAAGGAGCCCTAAGTCCAGCCATGAAGATGGCTTTCCGGAACAAAGAGGCTGATCCAGGGAAGCACCGGATTGTATTTAGTGGACGAGTGGCTTAAGGAGGAATGACTGAGAATTGTGGGAAGCAGGTGAGTACTATGAGCTGAGCTAGGTGGGTGGCCTACATTTACCTCTGCCATAGGCAGAGAAAGTAATTTGTATTATGCTGTTGAGATAGTATCTAATGTTTGGGGATCTGGTGCTCAGCCGAAATGGAAACAATTGCTCTTCTTTCGAGAACAGCTGCTCAGGTGGTCCTCCACAGTAGGCCACCATCCACAGATGCATTGGAGTGTTGGGATGGAACCGTGCTTGAAATGGGCTCAGGAGACAGAAAGGAGTGGAGATGAGTCCAGACTACTCTTGAGGAGTTTAACTGAAAAGAACAGAGAAATGAGGCAGCATCTCAACTGAATAACAGGGATGTAAGGTGGAAAGCAGGAGCTCTCATAGCTGGAGGGTATTCCACAGTGCCCTGTGGGGGAACATTGAGGTTGTTGTTGCCATGGTTACTTTACTCTTATGAGTAGTGCTTGTTATTGAACAGAAATCTCCTTGCTCTGGGTATATGTTTTGTCAACACGACATCCAGAACATCTGTGTACTGGTTCAACATTTCTGTTTTGTGGAAAGATGAAGGCCTTTGACACTGTTTGCTCCAGTTTTCTTGGACCAACACTTCCGGGTTCCCTGCACTTCAGAGCCTGTGTAAAACTGTAGCTTGTGGTCATGCAGAAAGTTCCAGAACTGTAGCTGAGGCTCATTAACTCACTCCTTCCTTCCTTCCTTCCTTCCTTTTTTCCTTCCTTCTTTCCTTCCTTCCCCAGAACACCTTCTTGCCCCTCATGAGTGTCTAGGAAAAGGAAGGATCACTGTGAAAACCCAATTCTTCATCAGACAGCAAGGCCTTTGTGAAGCAGGATGCCCCATGCTGTCCCCCACATAGCAGGAGAGCTGTGAGTCAACCAGGCCTGACCCACGGACAGCGGACCAGAGCCCTTGAGGAGCCAACAGGGAAGGCCTAAAGTGCTCAGCAGTCAAAGACGAAGGCCAAGCTCGCCTCAACCCCAGCTCCAGATTTCTTTGGAATCCCTGTTGATTCTTGGGAGTGGAGTGGTCTCAGCAGGCAGTGTCCAAGCCCCAGTGACTGCTGCTTCTGTGCCTGGAGTCCATATAGCACCTGGGAAGTATGCTCTTAGAAACAGGCCCCCTTACTCATGTGTGCATATGAGCATACACACAGGGAAATGTGTGTCTGTACACCAGTGTGGATCCAGGTATTCAAATGATGTGCCAATACGAAGTGTGGTTATACAAACATGAACATATTAACACACATTCATACTCATGTGCAGATAGACACCCTGATACAACGTACTAACATATGTAAAATATACTTGACACACTGTACAAAGACACACCAAAAAAAAAAAAAAATCTGCACCATGCACCTGGAGAAGCACAATGATGCACAGACACATGGAAACATAAATGCATGAATGTGGTCACAAATTCAATTGTTACATATACACAGGACAAATACATGAAATACAGGGCCACACTGACACATCATAAACACATTGAAATACCTGTGTACAAAATACTTGTGTACACAACACACACCTGACCTACATGATCACCCTCTTTTTCTTTTTCTTTCTTTCTTTCTTTTTTTTTTTTTTTTTTTTTTTGGAGGAACCAGGGATTGAACTCAGGTTCTTGCACTTGCCATGGAAGTGCTTATTCCACTGAGCCATCTCTCCAGCCCCTCACCCTCTTTCTAACAAGCCCTGGGGTCCACTGTCATGAGCTGTTGACCACCCCCTTGTTCATTCTCCCAGGGGGCAATGGTATCTCCAAGGAAACAGAGGTCTCCTGTCCCATCTTAAGCTCTGCTGGATCCCGTGTGACATCAGCCAGCCCCCTCACTGCAGCCACCGTCACTGGGTCACTGGGAGTTGTAAGCTCCGTGCTGGGCCGGGCTGGCCCCAGCTGACACTTCAGCTCTTGTTGGGAGAACAGAGAGAGGCTCTTGTCTGCTGCCTGTCCTTGGCTCCACTGCTGGGTTCCCTGGAGGCTTTTCCTCAGGCTGCACAGGTATGTGGGGCCGGTAAGGTCTATGCCTAGCACAGGAGCCACCAGGGTCAGCCTTGGTTTAGTGAAGCCCAGCTGCACTCCCTCCTCTGCACTTCTGCAGCTTGCTCTCTTGGGGCCTGGAAGGACTGGGCCTCTCAGAGGAATCTGGCTGCAAGATTCCCTCCCTTGCCTTGTGATCACTTTCCTAGCTCCAGAGAAGGCCATGGAGTGCACTTGTGACATTGGGTGCTACCTACTCAGAGAGGCCAGACTGCTGCCCCAGCCCACAGCGGGCCAAACCTGTGTCTTGGGGTGTGCAATTTCAGACAGTGCTGTGAGCAACGGGGCTCTTGGGTGAGATCCTGGCTCTTAGCTTTGACCTTCCAAGTGGGAAGTGCAGGGATTGTGGGGTCCTGAACATCCTAAACCATCCTAAAGCCAGGACTCCCTGGCTTCTTCTACATCACAGGACAAGGGCAGGGAAGATGCAGCACTGCTGGCTGCACAGATCAGCTGGTCACCCCCTCTGCTGCCTAACCTCAGACACTGGCCAGCCTTTTTTTTTTTTTTTTTATACCAGAAATCAAACTCATGATCTCACGCTTGCCAAGCAGGTGCTATGTTGCTGAGCTACATCTCCAGCCTGACACTGGCCAGTCTTGGGGCTCTCTTTGGTTCCAGGCCAGGCCCCTGGCGCAGCTGCTGTTCCCGGGCACTGAGTGGAAGTCCTTATAGTCAGCATAGCACCCAGCCTTAGACTGCCCACAAGAATTGGGAGTGACCAACACCCTATAGGGGAGTCCGGGATTACACCCTGCCCCTCACAAACTGGAACCCTAGAAAACTCTTTCCTTTTTCTTTTTTTATGTGTTTGGTACAGGGTTCTCACTATGCAGCTCAGACATGTAGGGATCCTCTTGTTTTCAGCATCCCCGGTGCTGGGATTACAGGTGTGCGCCACCACACCCGGACTCTAGAAAGCTCTTCTAGGCCTCTGATGCACAGCTGTGATGTGGAGGAAAGGCCTTGGAAGGCCCCAGCCTGGGACAGGCTCTCCTTGACTGTTCCACTCCATCCCTTCCAAGAAGTTTAGTGATAAAGACTGGGTCCAGGGGCCTCTACTTCTTGTCCTATCTATGCAGGGGATGCTAACCTGTAGGATAGAAGCTGCTTAGCTGAGGCAGGGGTTCAGGGCTGGGGAGATAGGAGGGGACAGCCATGCCTGAGTCACTGGAAAAGCACTCTCTCTTACCTCTTCTCCCTATACCCCCAGAGTCCACCTGATCGTGACTACAGAATGGCCTCCAGCCCTGCTGGGGTACGTAGCCCACAGGTGAGTAGCTCTGGCCTCCCACCCAGCACCAGCAGGCTCACTTTTCTTCTAAGTCTGAGACACCAGCCAGGCCCTAGGCTGTCCTAGACAATCACTGGGGGCCAGCAGAGGTCACAGTGGCTCACAGAGGTGGGCCACTTGGAGAGCAGAGGAGAGATTTGATTGAGTGCTCCAAGAAGTACATGGGCTGGACAAGTTATGGAACTGGTTGTAAAGACAGATGAGGTGTTGGAGAAGAGACTAGGTCTGGGCTGGGGAAGAAGAGGGGGCCTATTAATCACCTTTTTAAAAATGTCTTCAGCCTTCCAGGGCCAATGGAAACATCAACCTGGGGCCTTCAGCCAACCCAAAGTGAGTTCTGGCCTGTCAAGGGCTTTTCCTACAGGGCTTCCCTCAGAGCCAGCTCCCTTTGCCTTGGGAGTACAATCCAAAGTCTCTGGCATGGTGCTTAAGTCCCTCCATCATCTGGGCTTGGGCCCGCTCCCAGCTTCATTACACACTAATTCCCCAGCTGTTGCTCACCCTGAGCCTTTTGCCTGGAATACCCATCCCCTCAATGTCTGCACTTTTAGCAATTCCCCAGCCACAGGCCGCTCTCAGGATAGAGGGGTGTTGGGGCCGTGGAGATAGCTCAGTGGAATAAGCACTTCCCTGGCAAGTGCAAGGGCCTGAGTTCAATCCCCAGTTCTGGCGGGGGGGGGGGGGGGGGGGGGGAAGAATAGGGGGTGCCAACCCCTGCTTTCTATGCAGTGAGCTCTTGTCCCCTGCTTGTCTGTATGTCAGCTGGGCTATGAGCTCCCTGAGTGGAAGGGTGAGTCTTGCAAGTCCCTCTTGGCTGGGAGGGTGAGTCCCTTAGGGTCATAGAGATGTGGCCTCCAGAAGTCAGCCTGCATCTCTCAATGCTGAAGTCAAGAAGCCTGGATTTGCACTCAGGAACCTGCAAATGCTGACCCCTATCCTCTCAACCCCCAGTGCCAGTCCCACAGATTTCGACTTCCTCAAGGTCATTGGTAAAGGGAACTACGGGAAGGTGAGTTGAGAGGAGAGGGTGGCTTTGCCCTTCTCCAGCCTCCTCTGGGCCCTGCATGCCACTTGCACGTGCAAAGAGAAGCTCACATTCCTGCATAATGGGAGCAGCCATGCAGGGGTCTTGCCTTTGTGCCTCTGCTCAGGTCCTGTTGGCCAAGCGCAAGTCTGATGGGACCTTCTACGCAGTGAAGGTGCTGCAGAAAAAATCCATCTTAAAGAACAAAGAGGTAATAGAGCTCAGGCACAGGCATTTCCTCTCTTTCAAAAAGCTCTCCAACCCTGTGTGGCCTCCATAAACAGTGCCCCCTTCTGAGAGATCCACAGAGCTGGGTGCAGAAGCAGTCACAGCAGAGAGTCCCAGTGCCCCCCCTAGAGGGCCTGTGCCTTCCTGTGGGCAATACAAGGCTGCATGAAGGACATATTTTCTGTCCTGTCAAGGTGCCAGGCTCCCCACGTGCACACTTTGTACTCTCAAAATGCCCTTCAAGCCAAGGTCAGGTGAATTTCTAGATGCCTCCACCTATTGAGTATCTAACCCAATCCACTGCCATTAGGATTGAATGTCCAGCGACTTAGGAGAGAGACTGATGCTGATGAGAACATCATGAGGATAGGAGGGAGGCGAGATCTTTCTGATGGAGGTGGTCTTGTGATTGGCTTTGACAGTAGCATTCCAGTGGACAGCGGTATGCCCAGGCAGGGAAAACAGCATGAACAAAAGCATGAATATGGATAGCATATGGCACTTTTTCCCCACAGATTTCCTTTAGGATTCATTTATATAGACATCAGATTCACTTTGCTTTTTCCTCTGGAAACAGGAATTTCTCCAAGCTCCAGACTTTTTTTTTTTTTTTTTTTTTCAGTACCAGGGATTGAACAGGAATTACTGATCCAGGGACTGACACTATACTGATAAGAAGTGACTGGGGATGTCTGACCACTCTGGCCACTGAATACTGGCACAGAACCTGGACTTGGTTTTGAGGGCCAGAGGGTGCCATTGTGAAAGTCCTTAGCAGGACAATCTCCCCATCGAGGCCATGTGGGGTTTTGCTGGGATGAAAGGGGCTGTCATAGGCTGTGACGTGATCCCGTCTGTGTGACTCCACAGCAGGGCCACATCATGGCAGAGCGCAATGTGCTGCTGAAGAACGTGCAGCATCCATTCCTCGTGGGCCTGCGCTACTCCTTCCAGACCCCTGAGAAGCTCTACTTTGTGCTCGACTATGTCAATGGAGGGGAGGTGAGTGTGCTTACAGGGTGCTCCCTGGGCTGGCTGCTGGCTAGGAGCTGTCCATCTCACATGGCCCCTGGGGGCTGGTTCTGGAATGAGTAGAGAACATTTTTAGAACAGACACACTTTGTAGACGAAGCCACTGAGGCTCAGGGGGTAACTCACCTGCTCAAGGTCACTGGGTCCACATGAGGGTCTGGGTGTAGGTCTGTCTGATAATGATCTCACACACACACACACACACACACACACACACACACACACACACCTCTGCTGGCTCAGGCTGCCTTAAGGGAGGGTCTAGTAATACAGGTGGAGGTGTGGATAAAACTGGAAGTATTCTGCACTTTACTGCATTTGCATGAGCAGGGACTTGAACAATTGAGCTAATGGGCAGGCCCCCTGTAGGTCTGTCTGACACCCAGCCATACTGCCTTCTTGCCTTTCCCACATGAAGCTGCCCTCAGACTTTAATAGATCTGGAAAAGGTCAGTGCTAACAAGAGCTTTATGGTCAAGATTTCCAGTGTTCCAATTTTACACAATAGGCCGCAGCATAGGGGTTATCCTGTCATTGTCATAAACAGAGACCTGAGACCCTGGCAATCGAGAAGCATGGCTGGGACAATCTGGGCTCCCCACTGGACTTTATTCCAGTGAAGGACTCCCCCTCAGTGAGCCCAGATTTAACTTTTCAATCTAATGCCAAGGGCAGTATTTTTGTCCAGTGTCCCTAAGTGAAGGATCTTGAATGATGACAGATCAAGAGATTGGCCCATGGGGACAGGCAACTTGGGCTCAGTGTGACAGCCTGTACTGACCAGTTTTCTCATTGCTGGTATGAAATATCCAGTACTCACAACTTAAAGGAGAAGAGGTTTCTTTGGGTTCAAAGCTTCGGAGGGTTCAGCCCATGGTAGGCAGGCTCCAGGACAGACACATCATGGCCAAAGGGCATGGGAGAGGAGAGCTGCTCACTTTAGGGCTTCCAAAAAGCACTGAAGAAGAAAGAGCTAGGAACCATGTATATTTCACAATGTCGAGCCTCTATAACTTGCCTAGATATACCTAGAAGTCCGCTCTACTATTCTGCTGGGCATCTCTTAATCCAGTCAAGTTGATCATCAGCATTAATGGCCACACAGCCATAATCATTGTATCCCTTGAATTGGAAGAAAAGCACACCTTTGAGCCACCTGGTTTCAAACCTCATCTCTGCCACTTGTGAGATCCATGGTCTTTGGCAAGTCAACTAACTAACTGTTTGGGCCCCCCAGTTTCCTCTTACACAAAACTGGCAACATATTTGATGCTTTGAAGGTTGTCGTGAGGATTGAACAAGATACGAGATATGAAAGGGAAGTTGACTTGGAGCCTGGAACATAGGAGGTGCTTGATCAATGCCAATTAAGGTTTCCTCCTGCTGATACTTTGGACCTATTGACTGCTCTGTGGGGTAGGGCCAGCATGCCCTCTCTGGCCTGCAGCTCAGATTGGGGTGATGGGACCAGCGGCACAAGGGTAGTGTCATGTGGGTCCCTTCCTATACTCTGGAAACTGGAGCCAAGCAACCTCTCTCACATGCCTCCTCCCCTAGCTTTTCTTCCACCTGCAGCGGGAGCGCAGGTTCCTGGAGCCCCGGGCCCGGTTCTATGCTGCTGAGGTGGCCAGTGCTATTGGCTACTTGCACTCCCTCAACATCATTTACAGGTACAGTCTACCAGTGGCTCAGAGCCACACCCCACTCTATCTTGTTCCAACAGCCAGGGGTTGTGTGGACATCTAAATCCCGGAACTTGGATTTTTGTCTGAGAAGGGGTCAGCAGCTGGGGTAGGGTTGGGTCATCCTCCTTCCTGCAGCTAAGATCCAGCCTCCCTGTGAGAACCTCCACCGTGATTAGTTCTTTAACCTGGACCCATCGTCCCCAACTCTCATTAATGCACTGAGACTCCACCAGGATATTTCTCTTATTTTGTGCAGGGACCTGAAGCCAGAGAACATTCTGTTGGACTGCCAGGTTGGTGTGTGTGTGTGTGTGTGTGTGTGTGTGTGTGTGTGTGTGTTGCTGTGGGCACAGTTGCAGTGAGTCTGTATGCACAGGTATGTAAACATTGTATATGCATCCACATGGGTAGCAGGTACATTTCTATATGTGTGCATGTGTGCATGTGTGCTCAAGCACATATATACATGTGTATATGTTCATGGGGGGGGAGTAGAGATGGAGCCAGGTAAACTCTAGTGGATTTTGTAGTTCTTTTGTCTTGGATTGGGTTCCCTGGAAACAGACTTTGAGATGGAGAGGTGCGTGCATGCAAGCTTACTCGGGCAATGTCCCACCCTGGAGGATGGGCATGGCAACTGTAGCAGAGGGGTCTGGGCAAAGTCCTGAGGTACCCACTCATTCTATTCTCCTGCCCAGCTGCCACAGTTGTGGTTACTTTCTGAGCCCCAGAATTCTGTCAAGGAGATTCTGCCAAGCCATTGTCATAGGCTTGATTGAGTCTTAGTCTATGATGAGCTGGGGAAGACAGTGGAAATCCAGCCACATCCTCATCTTGTGCCCTTTGGTACTTGTGGCATCTAGTCTAGGAGTCTGCACAACCTGTGTTCTACATCTGGGGCTTCAGCCACTGTCCTGGGGTGTGGCATTGGGATTCGGGTTAGACCTGGACACATCCTTGGCTTGGCTAAGGCCACCCTTCCTCCCTTGTCTCTTGTCCTCAGGGACATGTGGTACTGACAGATTTTGGCCTTTGTAAGGAAGGTGTAGAGCCTGAGGAGACCACATCCACATTCTGTGGCACCCCTGAAGTAAGTAATCCTAGGAGAGGACAGGCCATGAATGGCTGAGTCCACACCTCCTGCAGTTACAGCCAAGAGGGCTTACTCGCTCCACCTCAGCTCTTCCTCTGAGCCAGCTTTGCACTGAGCCTTGGTTTCCTGTGAATGACAAGGCCATCAGCTCTTCAGGCAGCTGCACCCGCACTGGCCATGGCAAAGCTCAGTGGCAGTGCAGCCCAATAGAAAAGCGTGCAAACCATGTGCACAATTTACAAGTATCTAGCAACCATGTTTGAAAAGTAAAAGACAGGGCTGGAGTGTAGGTCACTGGTAGAGCACTTGCCTAGCATACAGGAGGCGAGGCCCAAATTCAACCCCGAGTACCAGTCCTCCAAAAAAAGTAAAGAAACAGGTGAAATTAATTCTAGTAATCTATTGTATTCTACCCAAAATTCTCATTTTAATGTATAGTCTATATAAAAACTGTTGAAATATTGTATTTTTTTCTAAGTCTCTGACCCTAGTAAGTATTTTGTTTGGTCACATCCATGTGTTCAGTAGCCACATGTGGCTGGTATCTGCTGTGTCAGATGGCAGCCCCACAGGGCGAAGTCCATGGACAATGTCAAGGCCTGGCCTAAGACTTAAGATCAGGACCTGTGAATGTTAAACACAAGTTTACTTCCCACCTCTCCAGCCAAAAGCCCAGAGAGTTAAAATGTGGGTCTCAGCAGTAATCCCACGTGTCTGTCTATCCTGCCAAGGGTTCCCTACAGCCTTGGGGGTCACAGCCTCTTCTTGAACTCCCCACTGGTCTTGGACTTTGTACCCAAAAAGGATCCCAGTGGCTTGGACGGGGACCAGGATGGTAGCTACAGAGCTAGGCAGCATCTCCCTACCCAGCCAAAGTTGGGAGTAGAACTTCTGGGTGTTCTCTCTATGCCTGGAAGGCTGGGCTTGGAATCTCAGATGTTCCTCTTCCACCTAGTGCTGTGATAGCTGATGGACAGGTGACTTCGCTGAGCAGGTGCTACTGGCTGTGTTCATGTCTGGGATTGCTCTCTGGATGACACTAGCCCTTCAAAGCTTGGCAGCTGGGCCATCCCTCTCCAGGAAGCTGCCAGCACTGCAAGTTGGAAGAAGGCACCCACTCTAGGAAGACCCCCTTAAACTAAAATGAAGTTGCCAAATATACTTCTGAACTAGTTATGGCTTGGTGAATGGGTCTCAGCCAGGACTGCAGCCCTTCTTACCCCTGTGGCTGGAGAAACATCTATGTCGCTAGGTGTGGTGGCACATGCCTGTAATTTCCAGCACTCTGGAGGCTTCAACAGGGAAGTCCAAGTACTAGTCTCACAGTGCAGTGGGGAGACCGAAGGACAATATCTAAGAAATGTGGCACAGGCTTGTACTGGAAACCTTAGTGACAGAGGCCTTTGGAGACCATGAGTGTAAGGCCAGTCTGGACTAGTTATTGAGTTCAAGGCCAGCCTACGCTACATTGCAAGACTCTGTATTTAAACAAACAAACAAACTTCTGTGATACACAGCATGTTCAACAGTACAGGGCAGTCCTGCCTGATGTCTGTGTCACCAGAACATGTCAAAGGACCATGTAAAAATTAGGCCTTGGGGAATAGAGGCTGAATGAGCATGTGGCCAACTACATGACTATCATAGTAGGATCAATCCCTGCTGGCCTCCTTTAAGTGCTTTGTTTACAGATGTAGAACCAGAGACTGGGGGTCTTTTAAAATAAGTGTGTCTCAAATAAGCATGTTCCCCCAACAGTATCTGGCTCCTGAAGTGCTTCGTAAAGAGCCTTATGACCGGGCAGTGGACTGGTGGTGTTTAGGAGCCGTCATCTACGAGATGCTGCATGGCCTGGTGAGTGGGGTGCAGCTGTCCACACAGGGCATGTGGCTCTGGACACAGCTGAGGATGGGTCTCTCCAAGCTCTGTGCATGGAAAGAAATGAGCTCTTGCCCTAGGTACAGAAGGATGATGCCACTGTGACTACAAGTACTGTATCTAATTTCTCAGTTAGTTGAGCACTTTACACTTCATAACACACCATTTTACCTTGGGAGCCTCAAAGCAAACGTTGGAATCTAGCACGGAAGAATACAGAATCGTTTTTGTTTTGCTGTGAGGGATACTGAGGCCAGGAGAGGTCACAGTGCTGATGGCTTAGGAGACCTTCCTTGGCTGCCTGCACAGGTGGAGGCCTGCGTGGACCCCAGGGCAGGATCCTCCCTGCGGGTCACCAGCATGGCATGGTGCCGCGGAAGGACTAGAGGCCATGAGCTCAGGCAAAGGGCCGGCAGGTAGAGTGGCCGGAGAGCAGCAAGAAGGAGCGCTGGAC